TAAGCCACTGGGTCCGGGACGCGAACTGTGGTCGACTACGTGGGAGTCCAGTGACATAGCTATTATGCTAACTGCTGGTCCGAAATGCCATTTTTCAACAAACAAGGGGCTCCCTGTAAAAACACCACAGCTTCCCAGCCACGGGCTTAGGAGCCGTCGGGGCGGCAGAATCTGCGGATAGGAGCCGTGCAGCCCGGGCAGGCTGGGGAGCCCTGGCCGGCTCCGAAGCCTTGGCCGGCTCTGCAGGCCTCCGCTCCGCACCGCTAAGCTCCAGACTAGCTGCACAGCGCCGGGGGTGGTTTTGATTTGAGGCAGAGAGGAAACTGGAAAGCCAGACGTGGAGACAGACGTGGGTCCTGGGCTGAGGCCGGCTGCACGGTCCCCGCCCCTCTGCCTGGGCGTCTTTATTACTGAGCTGGGGCCAGGCCAGCAAGCAGGCGGCTGATGGCAACAGCAGATGTGGTCCTGGAAGCGAGGGGGCAGGGATGGTGGAGCTGCGAGCAGCCCGGGGTCGCCAAAGAAAGATGGAGAAGGCCGGAGAGGGCACCTGGGCCAGGGCCAGGAAGGCATGTGGGCCAGGGCGGGGAGCGGCCCGCAAGAGAGAGGTGGGGGAGGTGCTGCCCGGAAGCAGGGGCCAGGGTTCAGGACTTGGCTTCAGGCACCTCTGGGCGAGGGCCCTGTCTGCCACTTTGCGGCCGGCAGCGCCTTGATTTGGCTCAGCCCCTCGTCTTTCTCTGCAGAAGAGCCCGGAGCTGAACTGCAGGGTAGTGGAACCGTCTAGGCGGACCCTGTTAGTGCCAGGCGTGCAGATGCTCAGCATCTAGAAACAGCCCCTGCCAGCCCCTGCGTGGCCCTGTGTGGCCCTGTGCAGGCGTTCAATCTCTCGGCGCCTGGCTTCCTATCTTGAAAATGAAAGGGGCATATTACCTTCCTCACGGGATCCCGTCAGAGACGGAGAGGAACCATGTACTCTGGACTGTAAATGTTCCCTCAATTCTAATTCCAGCCCCTTCTCTGCCCCCCTGCCCCCAGACAGGCCGCATCCCTGCCTCCCCTTCCCCAGCGGCAGACGTGCCCCTCCCCAGGTGCAGAGGGCTGTTTCTCAGTGCCAGATGGTTGTAGCTTGGAAATTGTAAAACAAAACAAAAATGGGGATTAAGTGAAGAGATGCTGGTATGAAACACACCAGCCAAAGTAATGAAACATAAAGCGAAACTCCCCAGCAGAGGAGAAGACGTGTGTACTCCAGAACTATAAATAGTCAGGTCAGCCCGAGACAGCCGACAGACTGAGACTTGAGTGGTTTCCAGCTAGGGCT